TCTTTCCCAGACACCGTTGAAGGTGGGTGCTTTCACCCCGTCAGGTAACGCCAGAATGGCCCTCTTAAGGAGTTTCTTCACCTCCGTTACCTCTTCAGTGCCCAGTTTCTGATCCGGATATGACTCCGGCATAACTGCAAACTTGAATGAGCTCGTAGTGTTCTGAGCATATGTGCCCTGATCCTGCGTTCTCATTCTCTTTTCTTTCGGTCTGACTGAGGGGCTTGGCGTAGTACGCTCTGATGGAAGGCGTTTTATTGCCTTCCTCGTAGCCCCCTCCCCCCTTCCCTCATCGACCTTCGCTGCTGCATCCGTCAAGGTTGCAATCGCCCCCGAGGTTTGATGCAGCTTCGCTCTCTTGCGACGTCTTCTCTCGGCTCCACTCAGTCTGACCCGATTCACATCGGTACCAGACTGGTCAGCCTTGTCAGACTTCGTGTGTTCGCCATCGCTGGCCCCACCCGAAGTTGCTTTTTCAATATTAAGATTTTTTAAATTGGTTTCCATTTTAGTCCCACGAGTACCGCGGTTAAGCGTTTTCACCTGGTGCATTGCCGCGATTGCCCAGGGCTTGGCTTGTCTCGGGTGGGTTACACCCAAGACTACTCTCAGAGGTCGCCCAGGTTTCTGAGACGCACCGCTAGCGACACAGCTCCCCCTGTGCCACGCATCCTTAGGCACGGTATGGCCGAGGCCATGGCTTACGCCGCTCACATACATGGATTGGGTGGACTCCTCTTAGCGACCGCGGGCAGCGGTAGTCCTTCAGACCTCCACCGCCCGCGACCGAGCCCCCTCACTACGACAAAGTGGGAACCCAGTAGAGGGGGTTGAGTGGATAACTAGGGGGATTTTTCTAGGGGGATCGCCGAGATTTTCACGGAATATTTTTCAAAGGAGTTTCTAAGGTATTTTCAGAGGAAATGGCTAAGAGGAGATTCCTGGGTTTCTCAGAGGATATTTCACATTCGCAACATATAATCGAAAGATTGATTAGAAAAGTAATTCGGGATTGTGACCCAAGTTTTTCATCAACCCATGGACTGCAAATATTTTTTTTTTCTTGTAAATATCTCAAAAAAATTCCGAGATCTCTCCTTGTCCATGCCCTTATTAACATGCCCGCCCCTCGGAAAACACTGAGAGTTTCTCTGTAAAGATACTCCCAAAAAATCCCCGAGATCTCCCCCTGAGCAAACCTCCCATCAATCCCCCCATTAATACCTCCCATTAATCCCCCCCCTAGAAAAACCCTGAAAACTCCCTTGGAATGATACCCCCAGAAAACCCCCGAAATCCCACTTGACCACAGCCTACATTGTCCCCATCCCCCTTAAAACACCCACAGAGCTGCCCTGGAATGTTACCCTTGACCAGGCCTCCCATTGACCCCCCCCCCTCTTAACCCATTGAACAATGTAAGTCACCGAAGGTATGGGTGTGAGGAGAGTAGGGAGCCCCTCAAAGTATCAGTGCGCCATAAGAAGTGCTCAGCTGTGCACGCATACTACCACCAAATTCCGAAGAGTGGGATACTGTGAGGTTGTTCAATGGCTTAAAAAAACCTGAGAGCTGCCCTGGAAAGTTATCCCCAAAAAACCTCAAAGATCTCCTCTTGACCTTATCCTCATCGACCCCCCCCTGGAAGGACCCAGAGAGCTCATGCGAAAAGATACCCTCCAAAAACCCCCCGAGATCTCCTCACAATCATCCTCTACATTGACTCGCCACCCCCTGAAATGACCCGGAGAGCTGCCTTGGAGAGCGACCCCCAAAAAACCTCGATATCTCCCCTTGACCATACACACCACTGACCCCACCCCCTCTAGAATGATCCTGAGAGATGCACTGGGACCTGATCCCCAAGAAACCCCCAAGATCTCTCCTTGACCATAACCTCCATTGACCCCCCCCCGCCCCTGCCCCCTCTAAAGATCCGGAGAACTGCGCTGCCGAGTTATCCCCAAAGAACCTCCACAATTTCCCCTTGACCATACCCCCATTAACCCCACCCCCCTCTCTCCTTCACCCTTAGAAATACCCCGAGAGCTCCACTATACAGATACCCCCCAAAATCCTCCCGAGATCTCCCCTCGTCCACACACGCTATTGACCCCACCCCCCTGAAAAGACCTTGAGGGCTGTCCTGGGAACTGACCCCCAAGATCTCTCCTCGACCATGCCCTCCATTAATCCCCTTTTGAAAGAACCCGATAGCTCTCCTGGTAAGTTAACCCTAAGAAATCACCGAGATCTCTCATTGACCCTCTTCAAAACATCCAATTCACTTTCAAAAGCTTTTCCTTACTCAGTCAACAAAATAACCCTCCAATCAATGAATTATGACAAATTCCAACATCAATATTTCAATTTCTTCCCAACCATACTTGTCGCTCACTTCAATCACCTATTTGGAGCCAACTTCTGATAATAGCCGTTTTCGTAAATGAAGACTCCGGCCTTAATTATAAAAAATCAGCGCATGTTTCCGGAGGGGTGAATTTTATACCAATGTAGTCTCAGATAGCTCCTTCTCACGCCCGTAAATTTTCATCCCTCCGGATACATGCGGCTGTCTTCATCCCCCCGGAGAAACCACATGATCATCTATTTTCCCCGAAATTCTTTATTTTTTAATTATAAAAAATCAGGCATTTTTTTGGAGAGGTAAATTTTATAAAAATGTCATCTCAGACCCCTTTCCCTCACCCCCCTAAATTTTCATCGCTTCGGATATATGCGGGTGTCTTCAATACCCCAGCAAACTCCAGTCTCATGCATTTTCTCAGAAATTTATTTTTCGAAAAATTAAAAAAAATCAGCGCATGCTTCCGAAGGGGTAAATTTTATAAAAATGTAATATCAGACCCCTCCCTCTCAACCACCTAAATTTTGTCCCCTCCGGATACATGCGGCTGTCTTCAACCCGCCGGAGAAACCGCATGATCATGTATTTTCCCCGAAATTCTTTCTTTTTTAAATTATTAAAAATCTGCGCATGTTTTCGGATGATTAAATTTTATAAAAATCTAATCTCAGACACTTCTCTCTCACCCCCCTAAATTTTTATCCCTCCGGATATATGCGGGTGTCTTCAACTCCCCAGAAAAACCCCAGTCTCATGCATTTTCTCAGAAATTTATTTTTCGAAAAATTGAAAAAAATCAGCGCATGTTTCCGAAGGGGTAAATTTCATAACAATGTAGTCTCAGACCCCTCCCCCTCTCCCCCTGAATTTTCACCCCACCGGATAAATGCGGCTGTCTTCAACCCCCCGGAGAACCCGCATGATCATGTATTTGCCCCGAAATTGTTTTTTTAATTGTTAAAAATCAGCGCATGTTTCCGGAGGGGTAAATTTTATTAAAATGTAATTTCCGCCCTCTTCCCCTCACTTCCCTAAATTTTCACCCCTCCTGATACATGCGGCTGTCTTCAACCCCCCGGAGAACCCGCATGATCATGTATTTTCCCCGAAATGCTTTTCTTTTTAAATTATGAAAAATCAGCCCATGTTGCATGTTTCGGAGGGGTAAATTTTATAAAAATGTAATGTCCGACCCGTTCCCCTCACCCGCCTAAATTTTAATCCCTCCGGGTATAGGCGGGTGTCTTCAATACCCCAGCAAAACGCCAGTCTCATGCATTTCCTCAGAACTTTATTTTTCGAAAAATTAAAAAAAATTAGCGCAAGTTTCCGGAGGGGTAAATTTTACAAAAATGTAACGTCAGACCCCTCCCCTGTAGCGCCTCGCTATATCCTAAAACGCAAACACTGGCTAACGACGAGCACAGGCATTTGCTGTCTCACTCGCACCTTCAGTGCTACGCGTATTTTTTTCTGATTGATCAAATAGGAAGAATATTCGGCAGCCCCGCTGACACCTTTCCGTGCAAATATAATTCAGTCTAACAGTACAGGTCGCATCGCACACTTGATCGGGTCATATTATTTTCTGTTCACCTTTGTATTAATTTGACGCGGATACTAAATCTGTAATTATTAGTTTAATTGCATTTGTCAGTGGATTGTTACCTTCCCGACTACTCCTCAATCCCTACATTGGTGACCCTGACATGATCAAAATCAGAGAAATTCCCGTTAATCGAAAGGAAAAATTAACTCGCGGTGTGGCGTGCATTTTTGATCGAAAGTTTTATCCGCGATTTCCAAAGTTTTTATCCTATCCTTGGTGAACACCCGCGCAGCTAGCTTTCCAGTGCCGCACAACTCCGAGTGCAAGTGCAATTTTATTTCACGTGCTTGATAAAACATCATTTTCACCGTGTGGTTTTTCTCAACGAAAATATTAAATACGGCATCGCGAAGTTTCTAGAACATTCGAAGCGTCCGAGTGCCAACCGTTGATTTCTCGGTGGTTCGGTAAAATCAAAACAAAGTGCTGTATTCAAGTGAACAGTGACCTCGCACTGACACATTGCTGAGTACCCAGAGACATTGTGTTGTGTTTGTGATAAATAGAGACTTATAACGCCTTTATTTGTCGTCACATTTATACTTTCAATTTTATTTCTCTTCGAAATTTAATCTCGAAAATCGATAATCGTAGCTTCTCATTCAAAACCAACAACGTGAGATACGATGTCTACCACAACAGGCGGCACGCTGACGGCCCCGACTGTCATGACAACGACAGCCTCCGCACTGCCGCAGATCAACGCATCGGATTTCTCGCGTGACAAACTCAGGACTTGGTTCATACAGCTGGAGGCCCAATTCGACAATTCCGGAATTGTAACAGAAACAGATAAGTTTTACCGAACATTACCATTGATTGATACAGAATCAGCTGCTGAAGTAGACGATGTAGTTATTACCTCTGATCAAGTCGCACCTTTCCAAGCTCTCAGAAACGCTCTGATTGCTCGATTTACAAAGTCAAAGGAAGCAAATCTTATCCAATTACTTGATCGGGAGTCGATTGGAAATCGATTACCCTCCCAATATCTAAGGCATTTGAAAAGTTTAGTTCCAGATATCGATGATGAAGTCTTGAGGGCACGCTGGCTATCTCATCTTCCGGAGAGCACCCGAGCATGTCTGGTGATCCAGCCCCAGGGAAACACCAATGACCTAGCAAAGCTGGTAGAAAAGATCCACGAGGTCTATCATCCGGATACTGTTGTGGCGGTAACAAAGTCGAGTGCAAGGGAAAACGCACAGCTGGCAGCTCAGGTGGCAGCACTCACCGCGTCTGTCGCAGCCCTGCAAGCACAGAACTCGCGCTCACATTCACGCTCACATGCCTGCTCGCGATCCCGCGGGCGAGACAACAACAACCGCCCGCATAGCAGGTCGAACACCAAGGTCTTCGGACAAACGCAGATCTACTGGTATCATTTTAAATTTGGTAATCGAGCGCCTAACTGTTCGCCCGGTTGTAAGTTTCGAGAAAACTCCGGGGAGAGACAATAGTAGCGGAAGTCGTCTCTCACTTGAAATCCCGCCGACTATTCATCACCGACAAAATGACTGGGACCCGATACCTAGTGGACACAGGCTCAGACGTCTCTGTCACGCTGTGCAGGCGGCCAGCAAACCAAAGGGATACCAGCGGATATCAAATCTTCGCAGCCAACGGCACCCTCATCGACACGTACGGCTACACGTCCATCTCGCTCGATCTCGGTCTCCGCAGAGACTTAACGTGGCGTTTCGTCGAGGCAGACGTCAGCAGACCCATCATTGGTGCTGATTTCCTGCACATTTCAACGTCATTTTCCTTGGACACACGATCAACGCCCAGGGAATTAAGCCTCCCAGAGATCGAGTCAAGGGGATTCTCGAATTCACGAGGCCTACTACAGTAAAAGCACTGCGCTGGTACCTCGTTACTTTAAATTTCGACTGGAAGTTCATCAAGGGAGCAGCACAAATTCTCGCCCCACGGAACGCGGCAACCCTGGGTCTAAACGTCAAAGGAAAGCATTCAGTAACCTGGACTCCAGCCCTTGAAGAAGCCTTCACGCGCAGCAAACAGGCTCTGGCAGAGGCCACGCTGTTGTCTCATCCAAACATTGAAGCAGAGTGGGTCATTTTCACGGACGCGTCAGATCATGCGATTGGAGCCGTTTTACAGCAGAAACACCACAATTCCTGGGAACCGCTTGCATTCTTCAGCAGGAAACTAACGATTTCCTCGTAGAAACACGCGACTTACGACAGGGAAGTGCAGGCGATCTACAAAGCGGTACCGCACTTTAGACACATCTTTGAAGGGCGTCATGGGATAATTTTCACTGACCCTAAACCACTGACTCACGCGCTCAAGCAAGAACCAGAACGAGCCTCATCCTGGCAATACCGAAGATTGGACTACATCGCCCAATTCTCTACGGACATCCGGTACGTCGCGAGCCCAGACAACGTCGTGACAGATGCTCTGTCACGAGTCGAAGCCGTCTCAACCGCTGTCACAACGCAACAGCTCATAGATGCTCAACGCGACGACCAAGAGCTTCAACGGCTACTCCAGCGACCGGACATGAATCTACGACTGGACCGCCTACAACTTCCAGGAATGGAAGGAACGAATTTACCCCTCCGGAAACATGCGCTGATTTTTCATAATTAAAAAAAAAAATTTAGGGGAAAATACAGGATCACGCGGTTCCTCCGGGGGGTTGGAGACAGCCTCATGTATCCGGAGGGATGAAAATTTAGGGGGGCAAGGGGGAGGGATCTGATATTTCATTTTTATAAAATTCACCCCTCCGGAAACATGCGCTGATTTTTTAAAGTCTAACAAAAATTAATTTCGGGGAAAATACATGCGTATGTAGTTTCTCCGGAGGGTTGAAGACAGACGCATGTATCCGGAGGGGTGAAAATTTAGGAGGGTGAGGGGAAGGGGTCGGACATTATATTTTTATGAAATTTGCCCCTCCGGAAACATGCGCTGATTTTTTATAATCTAAAAATAAATTAATTTCTCGGAAAATACATGAGTATGCGGTTTCTCCGGGGGGTTGAAGACAGCCGCATGGACCGGAGGGGTGAAAATTTAGGTCGGTGAGAGGGAGGGGTCTGATATTACATTTTTATAAAATTTACCCCTTCGGAAAAATGCGCTGATTTTTTTTAATTTTTCGAAAAATAAATTTCTGAGAAAATGCATGAGAAACCGACGTCGTTGGCCGAAGCGGCTAGGTGCGAGCCTAGTGTACGATAGGTTGTGGGTTCGATTCCCCGTGGAACCGAGTTTTTCAACCGGAGGCTCCGGCGAGCGGGAGGTCGCTAATATAGTGACCGCCTGTACCGGCATGGATTTTCTGTGGTTTCCCATTCTACTCCTATGTTCTATAGGAGTGCGAATGCGGTGCAGTGTAGAATCCACAGCCGCATGCATAGGGTTGGATAGGGCCGATTAGCCATTCAGAGGGCAGAAACAAGGGGTGAAAATTAAGGGGAGTGAGGGGGAGGGGTCTAACATTACATTTTTATGAAATTTACCCCTTCGGAAACATGCGCTGATTTTTCATAATTGAAAAAACAAAGAATTTCGAGGAAAATACAGGATCATGCGGTTTCTCCGGGGGGTTGAAGACAGCCGCATGTATCCGGAATGATGAAAATTTAGAGGGGCGAGGGGGAGGGGTCTAACGTAACATTTTTATAAAATTTACCCCTCCGGAAACATGCCCTGATTTTTAATAATTAAAAAAAAAGAATTTCGGGGAAAATACATGATCATGCGGTTTCTCTGGGGGGTTGAACACAGCCGCATGTATCCGGATGGGTGAAAATTTAGGGGGGTGAGGGGGAGGGATATGAAATTACATTTTTATAAAAATCACCCTTCCGGAAATATGCGCTAATTTTTTATAATCTAACAATGAATTTCGGGGAAAATACATGAGTATGCGGTTCTTCCGAGGGGTTGAAGATAGCCGCATTTATCCGGAGGGATGAAAATTTAGGGTGGCGAGGGGGAGGGATCTGAGATTACATTCTTATAATATTTACCCCTTCGAATACATGCGCTGATTTTTTATAATAAAAAAAATTAATTTCGGGGATAAAACATGATCATGCGGTTTCTCCGGGGGGTTGAAGACAGCCCCATGTATCCGGAGGGGTGAAAATTTTTGGGGGTAAGGGGGAGGGGCCTGAGACTACATTGTTATAAAATATACCCCTTGGGAAACATTCGCTGATTTTTTTTAATTTTACGAAAAATAAATTTCTGAGAAAAGACATGAGACTGGGGTTTTTCGGGGGGGTTGAAGACACCCGCATATATCCGGAGGGATGAAAATTTAGGGGGGTGAGGGAGAGCGGTCTGAGATTACATTTTTATAGAATTCACCCTTCCGGAAACATGTGCTGATTTTTTATAATCTAAAAAAAATTAATTTCGGGGAAAATACATGAGTATGCGGTTTCTCCGGGGGGTTGAAGGTAGCCGCATGTATCCGGAGNATGAGTATGCGGTTTCTCCGGGGGGTTGAAGACACCCGCATATATCCGGAGGGATGAAAATTTAGGGGGGTGAGGGAGAGCGGTCTGAGATTACATTTTTATAGAATTCACCCTTCCGGAAACATGTGCTGATTTTTTATAATCTAAAAAAAATTAATTTCGGGGAAAATACATGAGTATGCGGTTTCTCCGGGGGGTTGAAGGTAGCCGCATGTATCCGGAGGTATGAAAATTAAGGGGGGTGAAGGGAAGGAGTCTGATATTACATTTTTATAAAATTTACCCCTTCGGAAGCATGCGCTGATTTTTTTTAATTTTTCGAAAAATAAATTTCTGAGAAAATGCATGAGACTGGAGTTTGCTGGGGTATTGAAGACACCCGCATATATCCGAAGCGATGAAAATTTAGGGGGGTGAGGGAAAGGGGTCTGAGATGACATTTTTATAAAATTTACCCCTCCGAAAACATGCGCCAATTTTTTATAATTAAAAAAAAAATTAATTTCTGGGAAAAAACATGATCATGCGGTTTCTCCGGGGGGTTGAAGACAGCCCCATGTATCCGGAGGAGTGAAAATTTCCCGGGGCGAGGGGGAAAGGCCTGAGACTACATTGTTATAAAATTCACCCCTCCGGAAACATGCACTGATTTCTTATAATTAAAAAAAGAATTTCGCGGAAAAAACATGATTATGCGGTTTCTCCGGGGGGTTGAAGACAGCCGCATGTATCCGGAGGGGTGAAAATTTAGGCGAGTGAGGAGGAGGGTTCTGATTTTACATTTTTACATAATTCACCCTTCCGGATCTATGCGGCTGTCTTGAACTCTCCGGAGAAACCGCATACTCATGTATTTTCCGCGAAATTCATTGTTTAAAAAATTATAAACATCAGTGTATGTTTTCGGAGGTGTAAATTTTATAAAAATGTAATCTCAGACCCCTCCCTTTAGCCCCCTCAATTTTCATCCCTCCGGATACATCCGTCTATTTTCCACCCTGACAGTCATCGGCATTGAATAATTGAAAATATCAACATTTTTTCAGCTAAAACAAAATAACAAAATGCGCCGCAACACCTTTTTATTGACTCGTTCGGCAGACGGCTGGCCTGCGACTGCTGCGGCAGCAATCGCAGTGCTGTTAACGCGGCCAACCATAGCGTTCATTTAACCCTAACGCCATCTCGCGGCATTCGTTGATCGGGATTCGTATTGGCATTTCACACTTTCACCCATTTCTGCTAATTATTAGAAAATAACACAATAAACTGTATTAATTGAAACAAATCGATCATCTTTCAACTTTTTAGATATTTTCGCATCCTATTTATGTCATTTTTGGCGTTTTTCACATTAAAATAACATCCTCGCTACATCCTCGTTACATCCTCGTAATAGCGAGAATACTAAGTTGCCAGGGTATGTAAAAAGCAATTTGGATTGATTCGACTTCTGCCGCTTTCGTGGGCTAGAGAGGTTCCACAGGGTGAAGATTAATATCAACCAGTGTCGATGGATTGATTAATAAAGATCGTTTAATGTAATTGAATTAAGGTCAAGTCACTAGCACTGTGAAAGACACCATAATAGTTATCACGGGCAATGGCTGACCACTCAATTACCAAAGAAATTGTTAAATTTCTACGTATATTTATTTATAATTTGTCTGCAGTAGGGCAGAAGGAGGTTGAGACCTGTACAACAACATCTTCAAAATAAACCCACATTGCGATAAGTTGGTGCGTAGGCTCTTCGTCGAGGCTTATGCACCACTACGTCCAAGTTCGTGGCCTCGGCTTTCAGCTAATCGTGGTGACCCCAAGTTGGATTGATTTACATTGTTTTGAGTAACACATCGATACTAATTTTCGTTGGATTTTAATAGGTATTTATTGGAATTTATATTCTGGGAAAGGAATGTCGGTTTCATTCTTGATGGTTCGATCTTAGAGAGGTGATTCCACTCAACAAACACAAAAAAAACTGTAGCTTTATACACTTATCACAGGAATAGAAAGGCCTCGGTCGTCATCTCAACACCAGTGAGTTAATCCCTCCTGGAACCTTGCGCTCTCGATTTATTAATTTTCTGACACTAGGGGTGGTCAATAAGGGTTAACCCAACATTAATTAATAACAGGAGAAAAAAGAATAACGAAAAATAGACAAAAAACAACTGGGAAGGAACTGCGGTCTTGCTGAGAGGGTCTTTATACTACATTACCCATCACACTTCAATCGTTAGTGCATAACCAATTTTCGTCTCCACGATATGTAGATTTGTTTGAATTCTCATGGTATGAAAGTGCTTACATCAGCAAAAAACCCGATGATTTTGACAACCCTGTTGAATTCGGATTTTAAAAAATTCCAATGTTCACTGCGAAG